CGTTTTTCAATTATATTAAAAACAATTAGAACACAGTTAGATCCAACAATATTTTTAATGAATAAAACAGCAGGATACTTCCATCGGTAACGTTGCAGACTTTACAGCAAGGTTTGTAGCATATGTCCAGGCATACCTCATTTGAAAGAACATTTAATTCTGATTAAGAATGTGTCGCTTAAAAAATTTAAAAATCCCCGCTTTAGATTCAGGTCAGCTCCGACATTTTCAGGTTCCAAGGGGCAATTGATACTCAAGTTTCTCATAAATGGCTGAGCCGACACTGCTGCCACTTCTAGGGTATATACTAAAGACGATGATGAACCTGGTCATAACTTGTTCCGTCACTCATTGAATGATCAGTGCGTCATTGTTATCTTTTTTTCCGGATGATTCTTTAATTCTTCCTCGACTATTGCTTTTGTTTTCGGAACCATCTATTGTCGTCTTGCTACTACATCGGTATCTTTCATCAGCAACTCACCCATGTTTTTATTAAATTTCACCAAACCTTCGTATCGTATGTAAAAACCAAAATTATTTTGTGTGCCAGTTTTTTCAATAAATCGAACAAATTCAGTCGAAAATGCCATAAATTCATCCGTTTTTGTGCAAAGTTGATTTAGTCGGTTTTTCATCGTTAGATTTTTATAGTCAAAATGTTGCAACAGAAACAATCTTTTATCCAAACCATCATATGCCCACTTGTATGGAAGCGATTTTTCTTAATGATCAGTTACTTGAACGGCTTTTAAATAAACAATAGTTACATCTTTCTCAACCGTTGTTGATGAATCCTCATCACATCTCACTGATACTTTCACTAGCTCACCTGAATTCAGTTTGAAATGATTACGAATACGGCTTATATCCAAAATATTTGACAATTTATATTTCTTCGATAAGTAGGCCAAATTTTTAACCTGATCATTCAGAGATGCACGACAATTTTCATCAATATCTTTGACGCTCTTGAAAACTTCATGGAAAAATGATTTAAACAGACCACTATCCCCACGTCTTGCAGAAAGAGAAAATCTGCACAAGTTCTTTAAAGATTTTTTTTCTTGAAAATTCTTGATCAAGATTTATTGATACCTCTGCACTTGATGTCCTTGGAAAAACTTGATCAAGATTTAC